ACTGGTTATGTGATGATGGACAAGTTACTTTACTGCTCTGTGTTTCAACTGTCTCAGCTGTTCAATGTGACTGCAGATAGGACATACAGTTAGCGCTGATTATTATTATTTTCTCTGCCATGGCCAATCTCTTATTCAATTTTTAGCACTGTTCTAACTAGATATTTTTCTAAAGGTTCTGGCTAACCATTTAGCTAATGTTCAAAATAAGCAATAGGTATAAGTGATGATGATAAACTCTAAGTAGCACTTATTAGATACCAGGTATAGTTCAAAGCAGTTTACAAATTTTGACTCCTATTATCCTTGCAACAAATAACCTCTGAGGTGACTGCTGTTTCCCAGATAAAAATTGATTTCTTGCCCATAGATCAATTAAAAATGGTAGAGCCACAATTCAGACTTAGGCCACCTAGCTTCAGGCTCCTAGTCACAGCCTCTAGCCAGTGCTCTGCTTCTTGAAGAAAAACTGTTATAAATAAATCTCTTAAATCAAAATCTACATTTAAAAATGATAGAAATGTTAAAACCCGCATATAGTGAATAATACTGAATACAGGTAATGTTTTATCTGCAATAAAAAAGACAGAGGCTTAAAAAACAAACACATAAGCTATAATTTTCTTCTAATTACATTTTGGGAAACTATATGCAAGAATAAATTCTTTGAAAGGTTTGATAGAGGCTGAACTAGGACATCACTTCACTAGCTTATACTGAGCAGAACCTACAAGCAACCTTTTTTCTCATATCTGCGGAGTTTCCACTAATGTCTGTCACATGCAGCCAACAACTCCTGTGGACAGTGGCCACTTGGCCGCAACACTCAGAAACCAGTCCCTACCCCAAACGCCAGCATGAACTAGGGCCCTATTGGAAATGGACTCCACAAAAAATATACCCTTCAATCCCCACCCTTCACCAACTTTTACAAGTGATGATGTGAAAGATCAGGAAACTAGCTGTTGGTTAATTTATGGTAAAATGGTTCAACTAAAAATATGAAACCTAAGACTGAAAAAGTGACTTTGTGATGGCTGTCATTCTCCTTCAGGGACTAAAGGAAAACACATGTCTATGTGTTTACTTTGTGAATTCCCATCAGCCTGAACAGTTACGATATGTGCGTTTTCTAGCATGTATGTTACCTATCTATAAAAACATTTATTTCTGAATTTTAAAAAGGCAGACTCCAAGCCAATTATGTGGTGCATATGTGTGTGTGTGTTATATTTATTAGCCTGTTAGAGCCATCCAAACAGGGTATCAATATTTGGTAGCTTAAACAACAGAAGTTTTTTTTCTCACAAGTTTGTTGGAAGTTCAAGTTCATGGCACTGGCAGGGTTGGTTTCTGGGGAGCCCTTTCTCCTTGACTTGCAGACAGTCACTAAGTCTTTCTATTTGGCATACACACTCTTAGTGTCCATCCCTCAGAAGGACACCAGACCTATGGAATGAGGGCCCTACTCTTATCTCATTTAACCTTAATTACCTCCTTAAAAACCCATCTCCAGATATATAGAAAACAATGAGGGTTAAGGCTTCAACATGTGAACTACAGGAGAGGAGTGGACAAAATTCAGTCTCTAACAAGTTCTATGATATTCTAATAGTTATTTTTTTTAAGTTCTTAATTCCTTTTTGTAATATAAAATTTTCACGTTTTCAATCTCTAAAACTTTTAAATCTCAGTATCACGAAGGACACCCGAAAGTACCTAGTGTTTGCTAAACGTGTTCAAAGTTTTTATAAATAATAGTTTATAAAAATCGAATTCTAAAGTTTTCAAAAATATATGGAAATCATTTTATCACTATTTTTTCCTATCACGTTGGCTTACATCATTGCTTGTGTATTAGGTGTTATGCAGTACAGAATCTCCCCACAGGTGTGTTAATCATCTGCACTCCCCACAAGAGCCCCGAAGTCCTCACCAAATGCAGGTGCTCTCTTCTCACACTGCTCTTACTCCTCCCCCTTCTCCTGCCCCTCTGGTAGCCTCACTTCTGTAATCAGTTTTCCAAGGTTAATTCTTAGTTTTGTTTTTTGTGATCTTTTGTTTCACTTCTCTGTATTCCACCTATGAGACACCTCCTGGTATTAGTCTTTCTCCTGATTTACTTCACCGTCATTCCATTCATGTTGCCACAAATGACAAGAGCTTATCTTTTTTGACAGATGAGTAGTATTCCCTTGAGTACATATACCAACAGTTCTGCTCACAGGTATCTACCAAAAAATTACAAAATACTATTTTGCAGGGAAACAGGTACTTCCATGTTCATTGCAGCACTATTTATCATCACTAAATTCTGGAAACTTAAGTGGCCAAATACAGATGAGTGAGCCTGGAAATTATTTTTTAATGCAAAAGCAAGGATAGAATGTAATTATAAGGCATAAAACACTGCAGCTACATTGACCAAAAACCTGAACCTATGAAAATTATCTATTTGCCAATACACAGACAAGTAATACCCATGCAAGTCACTTTTTAATCAAAACACCTACTTATGACAAAAGGAGAACATTTAAAAGGTATTCTCTCAAATTATTTAATAATCCAATATAAGCTTACTTGTTACTATCTACCACATATTTATACAAATACTCTGATGAAACCTTTTCTATTAAATATCTAGCTACAGCATGGTTTTGTTTGCTTATTGTCAAATAAGCAAACTATGAGTGCTAATTTACCCGAATGAAGATTAAATTACCAAAGGAAAAATAGAGTTTTAAACTCAGCTAAACATGCTGGTTGTTCTGTGACTGAAGCAAGATGACATTTCAGAGTTCCTGATGCCTATGCTATCATTACCCCAAATCCATGCCCCTCCTTCTGAAATTCAAACAGATAGGCTTTTATTTTAATGAGACAGACATTTAGAACAGATTTCTTTTTGTCTTTGTACAAGCTCACATATGTTTTGGCAATAAATATCAAAATTTACATTAAGTAGTTTAACAGTTCTCTTTAACATTTTTAGTTGTGTTTCAAGCATAGAATTTCACAGACATCACCAAGAACACAAAGTCAAAAGGAAATGACCATGAGGAAAGACAAATTCCAGCTACTTTATATGCAGTGTGGCAACCGCTCCCAGCCCCAGGAATTAAGTTCTCAAAATTCCATGAAAGGAGAATTCAGCGCCAAAGAGCCAAATGGAAAATGGGGTCTGGCGATTGCCTTTAAATGACATTTTTACAGAGCTAAAAGAGGCAATAATAAGAGCTTTCTGTACTATTCGCGGCATCTTGCTCTCTTGAAACACACCAGTGCTCCTTTCCATGCAGTTTCCACACACTGCCCGTCATTTCGTGTGGCTTTGCTGCAGCTAGGATGCATCCTACAAAATCTTACTTTTTTCTGCCTCAGCTCCTCCAGTGTTCATCACTGAGATGGTGACTCAGAGTCGTGGATTCTATCTCCCAGGTTCAATCTCCTTGTCCCACAGACAGAATAAATACGGATGCTTGAAAAGGAAAAGCGTATAGGAGAGACAACTGTCTTATAACTGACTCACCTAAACTAAGTAACTGTTTCTCCAGGCTCTTCATTCATACTCAGGACCTTGACGCAGAAACTGCACATGATGGCATCAAGCCAAGAAGACACCCCAGCTCCTCCTATACCCTCCGAAGCTTCTGACCCCAGGAGAAATGTGCTCTAGGGCTGGGTCTCACTTGACTACACCTTCTTCCTTCTAGTAAAAAAGCTCCACTCTGTCTCCAGAAACTCTCTTTTTCTAATGTCCTGCAATTGAAACAATTCCCAATTGGGAATACACCAGATCCCAAAATTTCCCAATTGCCTACCGTGGCACAGACAGAACATCAGTGCGCTTGATGTCACACAAGGAGACCGATGGATGAGTTACAGCATCCTCTGTGTGAGGAAAATGTAGGGAGGCGCAACCAGCCAAGAACAAAACTGAGGACACAACAGATAAACAACTTTAGCTCCGCTGTTACTAATACAGAGAGAGACACGAGGAAAGGAACACAAGAAGCAGTGAGGACAGTAGCATTCAAAAGAAGTGGAGCAACCGACACAGGCCCCGATGACAACTGCTGTGTAGGGGAGAGCGCTCTCACTGACGAGGTTATTGAGGTGCACACTAGTCACAAGCTGGTGTTCTCTCGCACAGGAGCTAGGTTCTTTCTGGGCTCCCTCCTGCATGATCTCCTCTCCACCGAGAAGTGTTAGGGTGAAGATAAACATTCACTTGCACCTGATGAAACTTTAGCCTTGACATATTTCCCATCATCCTGGAAGGTCAGGCTGGTTGTCCTGGCAATTAAGGGCTCATTATGACCATATATGAGTGTTCTATGTTAGGGATCCTGGCACTCACTATGTAGGGTCCGTTCCAAACTTCTCGGCATAATGTGTTCGCTGAAGTAAAGACTACATCTCAAAGGTAGTTTCAGTAATGTCTCAAAGAGAGCACACACTCTTTTTAACCTTCGAGTAAGTTGCCTCAATCAAGTCAAGACCAAGAACAATTTTCTCTTTTAAAGTCCGAATCATCTGTACCTCAAAAAAACGTAATTGGGGCAATATAAGAGATAAAATCCAAGTCCCAAATAGAAAGAAAGATCAAGCTAGAGGATTACAAATGTGTTAAGTCCCTAGCTGATGCTCTGCCTGTCCAGGGCCCCATGTCTCCCTCAAAAAAAAAAAAAAAAATCCTGCCATTATTTCTGCTAGAGTTCACTCATTCTGTTGGAAAGAAATCTCCTGTGATGAATTTGACACCTGTCTTTCTCGAACTTGCCAAGAAAGAGTGTAGTTATTACTCATAACCTCACTTTAAAATTTAGATATTTTAATTATGACATTAAAGCACATAATTTCACTTTAAATATAAGCACAATTAAACACACAAACCATACATATCTTCAGAGTGATTTTATAACCACCTTAAGGGAAACAAAAAAACAACAAATTCATTTTAATATGCTTCTCCAAACCATGAAAGTAAGTTTCCTCACCTGACGAACGAAACTATTTGAGGTAGTGTCAGATGAAGTGCTCCCATCGGATCCTTTAAATCGGTTTTTCCTTCTAGCTCCTTTTCCATATGACTACAAAAAAGAAGAAAAGATATTTGAGGTTAGTATTAGACCTTCTAACAGGAATCCAGGTTTAGTTAGAGCTAGAAAGTGACAAAATCAAGAAAAGGATGGAAATGCCATTATATGGGAATTATTAGGAAGGGACTATCAGTGGGACCACAAATATCTATAAATTAAAACAATTTATGTTATCTGTTAGTATAAGAGGCAAAAGACACCAAAGCAGAGCATTTAGTAGCAAACACTTAGGTGTAAGAGACTCATAATTTGTCAAAACTTCTCATATAGCATGAATGCAAGAGATGTATGCATCAAGGAATATTTTTCAGTGATGTTAAGCATCCATTTTTGGCTTCTTTTCATATTTTAATCAGTAGTTTTTTTTTATATATGGAGTGATACTTGCAAAAACTGCACATAATGGCTGAAGAACATTTTGCACCTTTAACTTGGATTACCTTTAAACATATATAGGTATTTATAGATATACATAGGTATATCTACCTATCTCTACACACATCTACATATATATAGAGGGAAAGCTCTAGATAGAACCTGAATGAAGCACATTGTCAATCCTTTATATTATTTTATGGAACTAGAGACTGATTTGAGAGATGATAAAATAGAAAGTAAAATGTTTTGTGAAAACTTTTGGCCCACTGTTGTAGTACTTAAATGTGATGTAAAATCTTGCTTTTTAACAACTTAGTAATACTGTTGAAGGCAAGAAAAAAAGTGTCATGAAATAATATAATAACTAAAGAATACTGACAATTTGTTTCAATAATAGTATTGGGCCAAACTCAAACATCTACAAATGAAATTGCTTTTCCTATTATATCTACAGCTTATATACAGAGCACTAAGAATAAACTACACATCGATAAAAAATATACTGAAAAACATCTCAACATAGACCTTTATAGTTAAATATGCAGAGGTTGAAATTTTGCTAGAGGAGATTTTGAACAAATTTATGAACTTTCATTATCCAATTATCACCTTAAAAATGTAGGATTTTTTATTCTTAGCTCACAGGATTGTTTTAAGTAGTAAAAGAAATAATGTATTTATAGCCTTTAGTATGAGACCTAGCATAGGGCTATGACTCAAAATAATACATTAAAAAAGTGATGCCCACATTAGGATTTTAGGTGGGAAAAATTGGGCTACCGTGTATAATATATTTAGAATAATTAGACTCACCGAGACTTCATTATAGTACCAGAATTTACAAAATTTACTTAAAAAATTATGTTTGGGTTTTAAAAAGTTACCTTGTTATACTTAATATATTCATATGGTTTTCATTAAAATGGAAATATCTTATAAACCATAATATACATAGCACTTAGGCAAGCTGAAATCTATTACAAACATTTGTGTTATGAGTAATTTAGATGAATTTGCAATCAGTGAGAGGGTGGTATAATCTGAAAGCAAAAATCTTTCTTAAATATGTTTGTTCTCTTCCAAGTCTCTAACGGATTTATATAATACGAATGTGTTTCCATGGCATTTAATTAACAATCTCAACTTCAAAAAAGGAAAGACAGCCTAGGCTGGGCTTTCATAATATATTATACAAGGTTCTTAACACTTAATAGCTTATTCTTCTTACTTATGTAAACATTAGTTAGTAAACTGTTGAAAAGTAACATTCTTTCAACAACTGTTCTTCCTTTTCCAATAATTATGCAAAGGTTTGGACAGAAGTGTCTTCCAGAGCTTAAGCATACTAAAAGTATGAAATTTTCTTTGAAGTTAAAAAAAAATTACATTACTTCATATAGAAATAATTTGTTACCCTGAAAATACTGAGTAGATAAATTATCTTTGAGAACAAACACAAAATATAATTTCATCCCATTATCATGTGTCTATCTAGTACTACTTTGAAATAGAAAGAGTATCTCTGAGATTCTATCATGGTCCTTTTTTTTTCAGATTTTATTTTAAAGATTTACTTATTTACACAGAGCGAACTGGGCTATAGGCCAGAGGTGCAGGGGCAGTGAGAGGATTCACTAGAGACAAAGTGGGGAGCAGAACAGGCAGATGGACAAAGCACACTGCTAAGGGGAGCAGCGAGAGAGACAGGTGAGGTCTGCTGCACCATGTGGGTCACCTCCAGGGGCATTGAATTTGCACTGGAGTGGCTGCAGCCAGCTTGCAATGCTGCGTCCTAACCGCTGTGCCACCAGGGAGGGCCCTGTTTCAGAGTTTAAATGATAAATGTGTTTTATTTTACTATTCAACTGCTTTGGTTTCTAAAGCTTCTCCATGACTGTTCACAATTACAGTACAGGCAGTGTGAAAATAACACATATTTAAGACATTCAGTCCCAGGAGAGTTTGCAGTGCTGTGCCAGAAATTAGACCCCTGTAAAAAAGTCACGTTAATTGTTCCAGGTCCCTGGGAAAACTATTCATAAACATGATTTCAGGTGTATTCACTGCATCCTTGTATATAAATCATGTACTATATGATGTTTTTAACTGTACAAAGTTGAACTTTAACTGTACCAAGACACAGTTTGCACAGAAAAAATAAACTAGTGCACTGAGTCATATGCAAACTTTTGCTAGTTCTTAAAAAAAAATGTATTTTCTTCAATCTGTCAGATTTATGAGGGAAGATTCATTTAAAGTATTAACTTGTTCTTACCTTAACAGTGTTATCACAAGCCTTAATCAGTATCTATCATATTAATTAAAACCCAAGAGTAGATATGCTACAGTATACCTCTACTCTGCTATTATTCCTATTTTACTAATTTTTCTATAATTAGCTCTTTAACTGCAGAATGACTTATCAACGACTAGTTATTTATTATTTTTATAACAATATCCAAGATCAAGAAAAAGGTAACGACTAGTTATTTTTTTTTAAAGATTTATTTATTTATTCATATAGAACTGGGGTACAGGCCAGAGATGTGGAGGGTGAGAGGAGTCACCAGAGACAGAGTGGGGAGCAGAACAGGCAGATCGACGAAGTACACTGCTGAGGGGAGCAGTGGGCGGGTCAGGAGGTCAGGAGAGGTCTGCCGCGCCATGTGGACTCCTCCGGGGCAGGCAGGAATCGAACTCATTGTGGAAGTGGCTTAAGCTTCTCAGTGCAGTGCTTTAACCCGCTGCGCCACCAGGGAGGGCCACGACTAGTTATTTTTTATAACAATATCCAAGATCAAGAAAAAGGTAAAAACATCTTTTGGAAAGCTAATATTCCGCTTTTGTATAGTTTAGAATGTACTATTGAAAATTTATAGCACCATTACAAAATAAACTTTCCTTTAATCCAATGCATATTTAAAATTAAGTCCATCTTGCTGGAGTGACTTGTTTTATGAGTTACTCTAAATCCTTGAAAATAGAGTGTTTCATCAGAAGGAAAAAAAAAAAAAAAGTGAAGGCCAAACCACCCGCAAATGGAAAAAGACAGGAAAGATTAAGTATTCAAAAATTTAGTTGACTAAATTTGGAAAAGCAGTATAGTTTTCTTAGTTAATTTATTACTTCAAATGCAACTATTTTTATGACCAATGATTTTTCTAAATATTTTTTAGAAAATATGCCAAATATATAAACACTTGATAAATGTAATAGTGTACTGAGTTACCCAAGTTACAGGAAATTAAAGGGAGAGGTAAAACAAAAAAAAAAAAAAAAAAGGATTTCGCCAGCGTACAAAATGTAATCCCTAATATTCTCCTGGACACATGCAGACCCCAAATTCTTCCTGGAAAGCAGTCTAAAAAAGTCACTGATTTCCATTCATTCCCTATTAATTATATGGAGCTTAATGAAACAAACCATGTCACCATAGCACAAAGGAAAAACAAAAACTATATATTGGAATTCCTTTACTTCGCCTAAAACATCAAGCAAGTGAAGTAATTTTTCAGACACTCATAAGATTCTTCTTAATTTCCACAAGTATGTAAAAGTCTTAGAAAAAGAAAGGCAACATTCATGATGTTAATGTCAGCTGCTTGTGTATGGAGTCTTCTGTGAAACTAAATAACCCCTCCAAATCATAACTTGATATTCTAGTCTTAAATTCAGCCGAAAACATTTGTTCACATTTCCACAAGAAATTGAAATCTAATTTCTGTGTGACTGAGGTAGACAACAGTAGTTAATGATAGAAATTGCGGGATGTTTGGAGATTTCAGCTTCGTCCTGCACACAGAGGACTGAGTCACCTGGGGATACCGTTAAGTATAAGGCTGCTTCTGTGGCTGATGAACATGGTGACTCTTCTCTTACCTACAGACTGCCCCCACAAGCATAATGTGCAAGCCTGAAATTACTTTTCATCCCTTTCCACAGTACTCACTGATATTTATCTCTTGGACCTGTGGGGATTTTTCCTCATCTTTTGGTCTAAAGCAAAGTAAGCCAAAGCTACCCAAAGAGGACATTAATCTCATTTACCAATAGCTTAGTGTGAAGGCGGCTGTCAGGTCCTTTACTAACAGAGAATAATTAAGATTATCTTCAATAGAAAAAAGGCAACAAAGGTGTTTTCCAAATGGATCCATTTACACAAAAGCAGAAAAGAATCAAGAGCATAAAAAAGAGCTCTTGGGATGTGGGGGTTCACTGTCAGAGAAGGGAGAAGGGAAGAGAGGGAGGGCGCGGGAATGAGAGGGTTAATCTCACTCTCTTTCACAATCTACCTTGGAAAGAACTCTAAGAGACAGTCACTGAAATGGTGACATAGTAATTTTAACTTCCTGTAATCATAAAAGTAAATGTATGTCAGATACTATCTGTGGGAAATTGATATAGCCTGATATTACAATATGGAAAATTATGACCCTTTCCCTATAGGGTTAAGATAATTTTGTACAGCTTTTCTTGAAAGAACCAGGACTATGTTCTGGCTATTTTAAAGGAATTAAATACAGTAACAGATCAACTTAATCTTTCCATAAAAAGATAAAACATAGAAATGCAGACTACAAGAACAACTAAACCTCATATCACCCACCTAGTCA